CTCTTTCTCCTTTTTTTTTTTTTTTTTTTGATTTTCCAATTTGTCACTCTTTAAAATTTGCGGTTAAATTTTGCGGTTAAACTTATACTTTGTAGATAGTTTTCGACTATTCGTTGTTATGCTGTTTTTTTTATGTTTTTTTTACTTTATTTGAGTCCTCTGTGTCGTGTTGCCTACATAAATTCTTACTTTTGCGGGCGTAGCCTGCACGGCCCGCACCGCGGGCCCTTAGCTAGTATGATTTATAAATCTATAAATAAGTTTTCACAGATTTTGGTTCTTACCAAGTACTGAAAATGACTTATAGTTCTATAAATGAGTATTCACTAAAACTGTTTTTTTTTGTACATATTTCGAGTTTTTAAAGATTGTTTTGTTTACGCTCTGTTTTTTATCAATCTACTAAGAACAATTTATAGTCCTATAACACGCTCTTTACTAAAAATGATTTTCTTGCATATTTTAAGAATTGCTAGACTTTTTGCCCGTTTTTTTGCATCCTTTCTCGGGACACAGTTAAAAATATTATTTTTTATGTGTCAAAAGTAACAGTTTGATGTTGTACTTTTTCATTCTATAAAAAATGTTAGGTTTCGTCGTTTTGTTAGGTTTTCATGAATTCGGTGTTCTCACCCTTTAAACCTTATCTCGTACACCTTACACCTTACCCCGTACACTTTACCCCTTACCCCTTACCCCTCACACCTTACCCCTTACACCAAAACCTCGATTTGCAATGGTTTTTGCACCTGAATTATCTAAAAAATGACAATTTCGTTCAAAAAATATAAAATGTCCGTTTTGATGAAATCACTGTTTTTTCCTTCCCACCCTCACCGAGGAGCCAGCCGTAGCGTTAATCGTTCTGCCCAACAAAAAAACATGGCATCTGGCCTGACCCACCATCGCATCCTTCCCCATAGCTAGCTCCTGCCACGCCGAGCCGAGCCTCCTCACAGCCACCGAAAACCCTATACTTCCCTCCAAAGCCCATGCCCATCCTCCATGCATCTGTCCTCGCATCTCGCAACTCTTCGCAACGCTTCACTACGCCATCACCGCCGCCTCCACGAACCATTTCTTCCGCAGTGTGAATGCGCCATTTGGAACTGGGTGCGCTTGCTCGAGCGGGGCGCAGCGCTCCCGGTAGCGCTGCGCCCGCCCTAGGCCATGATGGTCCCCACCACCACCTCCCCTCCCGCAAACAACCGATATCCCGTATATTATCGGTCCATTACGGTTTTGGCGTGCCTCATCCCGGGTCGCCAGGCGTGTTCACAGCAACGTTCCCCCTCTTGTTCCCAGGTCTTAATGCTTCGTCCCTCCATTGATTAGCTTCGACTGTAGTTTGTTCATTCTGTCCCTGTAGCAAACTCACCTCCTTCCTGAGTCCAGCAACCTCCTTCTCCAAATTCACCTTCATGAGAGTCGACAGCTTCATCTCACTAATCTCCTGCTTCACCACAAAAACCGCATCCGCATTCACCTGCCTATTCGTCACCTGCTTCCGTAAGTCCATTATCTCTTGCTGTAGATACATGACCTTGCCGTCGCCTGTTTGGTTCATAAGTGCACCTAATTTCTTTTTCAACTCCTCATTCTCTCGTTTGAGCCTGGTCAACTCATCCTCCATCCCACCAGCAGCGGGACCCTCATGCGTACGTTTTCCTTTGATTGAAGCACCCAATTCACTGAGCTTCTTCTCAAGGCGTTGACCCATGTCCGCCTCAAATTTCTCGCGTTCCCTCTTCCATTTTAACCGCTTCTCCTCCTCCTCCTTCTCCTTCTTAACCCTTTGTTCCTCCTCCCTCCTCTTCACCTCTCTCTCTCTGTCCTCCATACATCTATTGTAGCACATGTCCAGCTTCTCTTGATTCCTACCCCACCAATTCGGTCGACTCTGATTGCCATAGCTTGATGTCCCCGCCGAACCCGTTGGGTGCTGACTTGGTAGTGAAGGCGCATAGTTAGCAGTAGAGGCGGCGGCAGAGCCATTAGGGGGTATCAGCGCAAGTAACGGAGCAGGGGTAGGAATAGTGTTAGCGCCAGTAGCTACAGGCCTTTGCCCCCGATGCGGACAGCCATGGACCCAATGATTAGTAGCCCCGCACGGATAACAGCCGTTCCTCCCCGGACCTAGCCCCGCCATCCTTCAACAACAGGAGGATCGAGTCCCAAATATAAAAACCAAAAGGAAGTAGCACAGTATCGGCAACTCCTAGGTAGCCAAAGTGCAAACGAAAAGGGACGAGCCACACACGCATAGTGTAATTTCTACGGTGGTTGAAGCTATTGCTTTATTCGCCTTAATGATGGCTTTCTTAATTTTATGGGCGACCGCGATAAAATGGTTGGCACTTCGCTCGTGGCAAAGCCAATACCAGTGTCGGCCCATTGGCCTATCTAAACAATTCAATCATGACATAAACCAAGACATACAAGTCACAGAACAAGCGACTTCTGAAAAGAAGAGAAAAGGAGCGAGCGAGTGAGCGAGAGAGAGAGAGAGAGAGAGAGAGAGAGAGAGAGAGAGAGAGAGAGAGAGAGAGAGAGAGAGAGAGAGAGAGAGAGAGAGAGA